AAATGCATATCTCTCCACAATAACTTCATCTTTTTCCCGTAGAAATCCATCTTTCTCCATAATAAGTCCATGTTTTTTCCTCAAGAAATCCAACTTTCTCGAAAAGAATGTGCTTTGTCCAATTGTAGTGCACATCTCTTCACTAAAATCTCATCTTTTTCCCAGTAGAACTCCATGTTTTCTCCTAAACAAATGCAAGTTTCTCCATACGAACTTCGTGTTTTGTCAAGAAATATGCATGTCAAGCTCTTGTGGAGGAACAATAACTTCATCCTTCTTCCTGAAGAAATACTATTATCGGTTCCAGAAGTCAAGGCAGGTGGATGGTTTTTGAATAACTTTTGATAGAAACAAGACAGACACTTGCGGTTTTCATTTTTAAAAACTAGATACCTGAGCACATATTCCTGTGAGCAAAAGCGCATTTCGGCAAAACTTCTGAAACGAGTTTTTTAGAAGATCTTTGGAAAACTAGCTTGGATTTGCCGAAATTCACGTAGGAATGTATTGACGTTTTTTCATGAACTGATAGCCCGGGGTGTTCTCTTCAAAACGGAAGTAAAGTGAGACCTTGATTTTCTTCGGTTCGGGCGATGTATCAGATTTCCGACGAGTCCCAGGACTGGTACCAGGTGACTCTTGGTAGCCTTAAAAACAGATGGAATATGGGTAATCGACCATGATGAGTCTCGTGACAATATTTGTTTTTAGAAAAAGTTTTAAAAATCTACCGAAAAGCCAGTTTTACGAAAATTAGGGTTTTTACAGTCTTTTCACCTAATATTAAAAAATTCACTATTCACTCAAAAAACATCAAAACAAGTTTAAAATCACAGGATATGATTAATGTTAACCACTAGACGTGATTATAAGAGCGAAAAAGTCTAAAACCATATTTTTGTTAGTAAGTTTTCCAGAAACCCTTTTTGGAAAACCTCAGGGTTTTTTACAATTTATATCGAGATCTCCTATAAACAGGATATAGAATAGCTTAAATACTCTACATTCTGAAGTTTTGAGCTTGTTCTGATGTTTTTTGAGTGAATAGTGAATTTTTTTATATTAGGTGAAAACAGCCTGAAAACCCTAATTTTCGTAAAACTGGCTTTTGGTAGATTTTTAAAACTTTTTCTAAAAACAAATATTGCCACGAGATCACTGCATCTTTTTGTCTCAAGAATTCCAAAATTCCAGTCTTGAAGAATTCCAAGTTGCTTCACAAGAACGTCATGTTTTCTAAATTAGAATTGCGTCTCTCCCAAGAATAACTTCATCGTTTTCTTTCCAGTGGAAATCTGTGTTTCTCCACAAGGATTTCATCTTTTTTCCAGAAGAAATGCAAGATCTCGAAAAGAACTCCATCTTTTTCCGGAAGAAACCTAGTTTACGGTCGAACGGGCTTGGACTAAACTAGGTTGAAAGGGTGTTATTAAAAACGTTTTCTTAATATGTCCCTAAGTGAATATTAGCGTTTGAAAAAGCTTAGACAATGCCGGTAGTAAACTAATACGCCTACAATTAGTTGAAAGAGTCCCGACTGAAGCTTTTTTCTCAAGCACATACCTCAAGATTTGTCTCCATGCACACGAATTCATTCTTACGCATCTAAATTGCTTGAGGTAAGTTCTTCACTCATGCGGTTGAAGTGCTTGAAGTATGCGCATGACGGGAGAAATATCTAAAACAACGTACATAGCTTAAGAACGTCATGCATTTTCCGCTTTGTAAATAGCTCTAACTTCGTTTTTTAGATTTGATTAGATTGTTGTTTTACTCGGACTTTTCTTCGAGAACATGATGCAATCAGTCTACTACTATTTATCTCTCTCAGGCAATTTCTTCCAGTAAGACGAATGTCTTACTGGAAGAAATTGGTAAAAAAGAAACATATTAAATCGCTTTATTAATATCAAAAGCTCATTGGATTTGGTGTTCGCTGTTAGTATTGTGCCTTTCTTTTGTTGATAATTCAACCATATTTATAAATTTGAAGTAAAAAATGTTACAGTACATAAAACATCCTTTTCGAAAACAAAAAACCATTCGATCTATCAAAGATTGTTTTCCTTCTTTGTATCACACGCCCCCGCGGGAATGTCCTACAAGTGAGCTAACAGAAGTTGAGATATACCTGCTCTTTACTGTGCAAACAATCTGCCAAAATTCACAGCTCATATGGTACCGTTCGGACAATACCAAAGCTGTTCAGTCGAATGTTACTTCCTTAACGAACTTGAAGATTTCTCAACTTTTTTACGGTACAGATTATTTATATATATATAACATATATCAGCTCCATAGCACTGCAAAACAAAAACAGTAATAGAGACAATAGCAAGTATAATTTATTAATCTCTGTATCTAGTAGCCCCATAGAATTCAAGATGAGACCCTCTATAATATAGTACCATAAAGAATATCAATATGTGTGCAATTCTTGTAGTTATCGTTCTCTTACCTACCTTTTCCAAATAAGGAACTAATTTTCCTAAATACTAATTGTATTATATTTGAACTGTTCTCGCAGAATTCCTGGTGTAGTGGAAACAGAGATTATTGTATGCCACCAATATGTGACACTTATGTGATTATAGAACATCATGGTAGAAGTGAGAAAATAAGACATTGGTGATTAAATACATTTCGAACACGTCATATTTCACCCCACATATGATGATTCAATGAATGGGGACTATTCATTTCCTTAGAGGGGAGGTGTTAGGAAATGGGTTTCGTAGAAAATTTAATTCTCTACAGCATGAAGTATTTAGTTTTGAGCTTCAGCGGTTTAGAAAATTTGTAAATTTGCCGACTTAATTTACAGTTTTTGACCCTTCAACCCGAGGTAGCGAATTTATTCTTGCGTATATCGGCTGACTGTAGCACGAATAATTATATGTATAAATATCAAAATTCTAATCATATTAGGTCCCTCAAAAACACTCGACAAAAATAGTGCGTGACACCGTTACGTTTGGACAAGCCGTATTATTTTATTATGTACAGACGGACGCTAGATTTTTCAGTCTTTCTCTTTCTTTATTTCTTGTATATACATGCAATCGTTCGCTCATTCAGCAAGGTATATTCACTTGAAGTAACACCATACAGTAACACCTCTATTTTATTCCTTCGTCTGTTTTCTCTCTTTGCATTATATACATCATTATAATAATTTTACTATACACGAATAAAATAGTTAAAAACCAAAGTCAAACGTTTAGAGTTGAACAAGTGTAACTACCAAGGAGGAATTTTAGTTAGGCATTAGCTCCCGGCCTAATAGCCCTAACAGTGACCTGCCGGTCAGGTCAGGTGCATGAAGCCGAGCAGACTTTATTGTTACTGGCCTATTATCAATAACTTTAGTTGTATTCGACACTGCTGGTAATCTTCTGTCCGTGATGGTTATAGCTACTAAAGAAAATCTCAAAAGTTCAACAAACATTTATTTGATATTTTGGTGTATTGCGGATACGCTCTCATTATATCAGTGGAATTTAGATCACGCTGTAGGTCAATTTACGAGTCTAAACATTAGTAACCGTTTATTATTTTTATGTAAATCAATTGAATTTTTTGGTTTTTTATACTTTTCATGCATCAGCATCTTTATTAACAATGGTTTCAGTTGATCGCGCTCTACTGTTACGATTACACTGGTATAAACACAGAATAGCAAAACATAAAATAGCATTAATTATTTGTAGTTTTATTCTTGGTAATTCTATTCGTATTAAATGCATATTTATTAAGCTTAGGCTACGAAACGACCGCATCAAATGGCATACCTTCGATTCTGTTTTGCTATGCAACTGAAGATGTAGCAACAACTTTATTTTACAATATTGTTGGGCCCATGTTGATCTTTGTATAATGTATCTTATCCCATTTTATCTAATGACTCTATGCATAACATTAACCGTGGTCAAATTGATTACCTACTTAATGTGTTATTTACTTGATATTAATTTTGCGGAATCGATTATGTTTTACAGTGTTTTACTCTCAGTTATTAAACAAAGATTATTCACCAACTGTTCTGGTATTAACAAATTTATTAATCTATACAAGGAATTTTCTAAATATATATTTGTTTTTTGTGTTAGTGTTGCTGGATTTAGAGGAAAAATTTTGAAGATATTCAGTTGCAACCGGTACATAATCGTGTCGAGCCTGCAGTTACAATGACTGCCTATCAAAGACAGAACAGAACAAATAATATTCAATTAAATATAATTGTACCTTAAAAAGATGGTTTTCATGAGCATAGAACAATAAAACTACACATGATAATCAGGTATAGAGTATCAGCCTACTACCTCTGGCTGTGAAAAATAATGTAGAAGAAAGCAAACAAACAAGCGTTGATCGATCAAAAGTTAACTAACTGTGAATGAATAGTTTATTTAAAAGCCAAGAAGCTATGCATTACTCAGCATGAATAACATCATTTTAAATAAATAGAAGCTTAAAGGATAAGTGGAGGTAAATCGTTCCCGAGTATTTTTGAAAAATAATCTAAAAAAAATTAATGAGTTTCATTTTATTGAAAGCTTGGCCTACCATATCTATGCCATTTTCACCCTTTTGTATTGTTTCTTCATGCTTATCATTGATGACTAATTCATTTACTTCTCTAAATTCACAGATTTTTTCATTATCTTGATATTCTTCCCATTTTAAAGATCTTTTCAAGAAATATCCATTTTTATGATGAAATCGATAAGGTGAATCCCAATAACCGTTGTCATTTTGGGCGATAATATAAATTGTTTCGGGGTCATCAGCGTTACACCAATAGATATTCGTATCCGATTTATAGAACCAAACGTACATGTCTCTAAATTCATCATAAATTTTTACTTGATCGGGAATAAGTTTTTCATTTTCTTTTTCAATTGTCAATGTATCTACACAGGTTAGTTTAATTAATTTTTTTTCCGGTAATACTTGGGTTACTCGAAAACCGGTGTAAGGGTAAAATAACACTTCGCTTTCGTAAGGAAAGTCAGAATACTGACTGATATCACAACAGTATGTAATACCTTCACCTATAAAAGTAAATTGACAACTAAATCAACAATTGGCAACCTAGCTAAATTTTTACCTGGAATATCAATTTCAAATAGGTAATGACCAAACCGTCCAGCTTGTTCTTTATCTTTAGATGTGCACGTAAATGTGGGCCACAAAAAGGTTGTACCTATTTTATATTCTTCTTTGACCTGTTCGTCATCTAGTTCTAAACCGCGATAAACTTTTCCATGATGTGAGTATGAATTGGATTTTATAGCATGCTTTAAACTGAATATAAAGTTTAAATTATCTTCCAATACTTGATGATCGTCTTCCAGTAAAGCAGAATTGATAAAATGATAATACTGGCCCTTTTCTTTCGTCCACATATGAAAAAGTTGTTCTTTCGGTATTAACTCACCAATATCCTGAAGTGGAACGGATAATATTCTTCGGTAATTTGGACGGCGAAATGTCGGACATAAAAAACGAGATGTTATACACGAAAACTTAATATTCGGATCACTGATTGCTGTCATGTCTCTAGAAAAAGCGTGTAGCATTGTATTAAGCGTTTACAAAGTGTTGCCGAATGATGCGTATTAGATTGGTCACCTACTCATAAAATATGTAAATTTCACTCCGAGAAGACATGCATCAGTTTTTGACGAGTTATTNCTTCGGTAATTTGGACGGCGAAATGTCGGACATAAAAAACGAGATGTTATACACGAAAACTTAATATTCGGATCACTGATTGCTGTCATGTCTCTAGAAAAAGCGTGTAGCATTGTATTAAGCGTTTACAAAGTGTTGCCGAATGATGCGTATTAGATTGGTCACCTACTCATAAAATATGTAAATTTCACTCCGAGAAGACATGCATCAGTTTTTGACGAGTTATTTCTGACTGATTATAGGAGCATTAAAGAAATTGCCATGACTTTGTTACTAAGAATCGTTCCGACTTTGGAAACGTCTTATTTTGTGGATAAATGTATGGTCTATGATTTGCATCAATCAGAAGATTAAAGAGACAAATTCTTTTAACAGATTAATAAAGAGGCGTGAATAGTATATTAAAACAGTTATGGCATTCTAGACAGCTCATATTTATGCCACAACTGAGTTTAAACTTTTATTCCGCGATACGCATACATAGAGTAAATATTTCTCTACAAATGAGATAACAATATAACAATTTGGCTGAATGACATAAAACCAGTTATATAACTGCTACATACCTAGTTTTGAGTGAGAGATAATGACGTCCTTTTTCGTCAACACTTTTCTACTTGACTTTCGGTTTTCTGAATATACTGGAGTGATCAAACATACCTTGTAGAAACTATGAAGAGGGATGTATAATAAATCATCACGCAAGATCATCTCAAACTTAGAGATCTTCCAGCTTTCTCCAATCTTTTATTTAAATTCGATATTAACTATTCTAGATTTTCTAGACATATTTGAAATTTTCACAAGAAACTTTCAAAGCGACGACGAAGCCGAAAACAGCTATCGCGTCGACTGATAATGGCGAAGTACAGATGACATTGAAGAATACGATGAAGACGCACACAGAGCAAATGGATGTAGTAGAAACAGGCAGCAACATAATAAACGAAGTGAGCTATTGAAACGCGAATCTCCTATGCAAGCGTCACCAATAGAAACACAACAACCATACAATTTTTATAAACAAGAGCATTGTGTAACAATCCTTCACAAACAAATGGAAACCTTCATCAGTCACAATCACAGACGCGTAAAAGAATTCAACCTTTACAAACAAATGAAAATATATCGCATACACAAACAATCTTAATTGCTTCTCATCCGTATAACACTAAACAAACTCAACAATCCACCAGCAATATTTTCTTGCAAAGACAAGATGCTTCAATAGTTCTCTCACCGATTATGCTTAGCCGAGCGTGGGATGAAGGGAAAACCTCGTCTATGAAGGAGAT